TAAATTGATGAAGAGTGTGTGGTTGAAAAAGAAGGAAAAATTATTGACGTGATGGAAAATATTATTTTATTGAAGAATGTGTAGTTGAAAATGAGTAGAAGAATGAGAATAAAAATTTTAATGTGTATCAAACATAGGCTAGATAAATCAAATTCCTTGATTTAATCAGTTCTTTGGCATGTGTGTAGACTTCCTAAAAAATTAGTGGTTTAGTAGATTCTTTTGGAATCTTAAAAACAACATGGTTAGCATTCATAGTGACGAGGAAACCCCAAGAAAGGCTCACTTGTGCTATTTACTCATTGTAACTATTCAAGTAGGCAGATGGGTGATTCTGCAGAAATACTACTATAACATAAAAATTTGTGGATCCATGAGACACATTTTTGGGTTTTTATTGATAGCCACATGTTTTGCATAGGTGGGTTGGACGACGTATTAGTGTAACCGTGATATGGAGAATATAGAAATAGATGATGTGGCTTAACCCCCAAATGTCACATCTCTTCACTGGACCATATCAGTATATTGTGAAGTCATATAGGGAGATTGATATTAATGCGGGTCTGTTTCAAAGTCCAGTTTGACATAAGTCCCACCTTGTAATCATATACACTAGTAATTACATTGTAACATATGTTATCTCAAATATTAAACTAATTTTCAGTTCTTGATAGATTTAAAATAGGCAGAAATTTTTGTGTCATATAGGTTTGCATTTATACATGTATGCATATGCAAATAACATGTCTATTTTATGATATTTTAGCACTTATTATGTGGTGTCTCATCTTGTTATATGTGTTTGAATCTGTATTGTTGCTTCTTTAATGAAATACTGGAACTTTCTGTTTTGTTTTCCAAGTTTTTCCCCTATCAAAATGAATCATGATATCCATCCTGGAAAATAACACAATTACACCCTTCCTTAAAAGGCATTCTAACACCTTGAGTTTCCTTAGACTATCTAGTCCTTGGAGCTCAGATATAAGTTCAGTTGCAGAGCTTTTGAGTGGTTTAAATTTTCCACAGTTTCCCATAATCTCACCCCTTCGAGTTACTCTTGCAAATTGATAAATCTGTCTCAATTCTGCCTGGCGTACAAGATCATGACTCTGTCTTTACTTTTCTTCGGTCTCTTCTGGCTTAGGCTATTCAATTTGAGCGGTCAGCCTTGAGACACACTAGCCAGGCAGACTTTGCACAATAAAATATGGGGAGCAGTTCTAATACACAGATTTTGAGTGATAAGCTGATGAAGCTCAACAGTTTGCAGCAGAGCATTGAGAGTATCCTCCTGATGATTACAGTTTGCCTTATTTTCTTCTGTAACTTGTTATTAGTTGATTTGCACTTATATTGGCATAATATTATGTTTTTCACATTTGAATTTCCTAGTTGAAAACTTGTTGGAACTACCAGTTCCTGGTAATTGACATTGCCCATTATTTGGGGAACTGTTTCATGTCCCTGATTGGTTTACATCTTGTTAATATGAAGGATATGATCTCGTGCATTCACTTTTTAAGTTCCTCAGTTCATCCTATGTAATGCGTCATAGCTCTTTCACATTGCCTTTTCGTTTTTTATTTTCTTTATATGATCTCTTGCCCCAGTAAACGAAATCAACGTTATCCTTAATGCGATGAAGCTCTCTTGCATTGGTGCATTTTTCACATGAATAATGCAAAACAAGTTGTCGAAACGTGGGACAGGCAGTTTCATTGCTCTCCTTATGAGCAGCGACTGGCATTTTTGTATCTTGCAAATGATATTATTCAGAATAGCAGGCGAAAAGGTGCCGAGTTTGTTACAGAGTTTTGGAAGGTTCTTTCTGATGCTCTCCGTGAAGTAATTAAACATGGAGATGAGTTTGGAAAGAATGCTGCATTTCGGCTGGTGTGTCTCTCTTATGCTTTCCTTTATAATTTAGGGTGTGTTTGAGCCACATTATTTTGAAAGAATGTATTCTGGAATAATAGATTGATGGAGAATGTGTGGTTGAAAAGAAGAAAAAGTTATTGATGTGATGGAAAATATTATTTTATTGAAGA